CCCCTACCAGAGAGACCCTGATCATGTTATTCTGGACATATAAAACTAACTGAACATGTGCTCCTATAAGTTTTACAGAGTCATTTGGACTAGACTCATCTCGCCATTGCTATATAAACACCTGGGACACTCAGGACAATTTTATACCACCCTGTTGCTTTCAGATACCAACACTATTATAACCTATAATGTTACCAAATTTTACGTGGTAGCACCTAAAATTCACCAAGTGATGTCTGGTACCACAAATTAGCACTCTAACTTATCAGTAAATTGAAACTATATTTAGTGCTCCCACCACCAGTCCCCTAGACCTGTGCCTGACTGTACCCCTCCCTCCTTATGCTCCCTCATATTCCGTGAATGCTTCTACCCTCTGCCTCCAGATTCTCTTCCATTTTCATTTCCTTCTAGTAATTTTGCTTTCTTTTTTAAATAGTATTTTGTGTTTTAGCCTTTTAATACACCTCTGTATTTTAGTTTTTAGCCTGGACTAAAATGATTTTAATGTATAATGCTTTTATTATACTGTACTCCTTTTCTTATACTGGTCTATGATCACAATAAAGATTTGTTTGTTATAGACAGTATAAAAGTAGGCCAACATATAACATCACTTCACATAGTGATCTAACAGATAAAGCGATAATCATAACACAGAAATCTGATGAGCCAAATAGATTGACAGGAAACACCAGAGTTAACAAAAATATATATCTTTCTGGATATTGTTTTTAACAGAAAATATGGTACCAGGACAGAAATAACATGGAAAATTATTGGTGCAAGTTCATGCACAGGGAGGGAATCAGACACTTCTATGTGTTTCAATGAAGCTTTTCCCCAAAATTAACAAGATGCATATGTGGAATGAAGAATTAGGTAAACTTTTCCTAAGTTAACCAAACCAAATCATTCCCCAGCAATGTTCCTCCTGTTCCTTCACTTTGCTGTTAATCAAAACTACAGATCAAATCTAAAGTGGACTCGTTTGTTGTAGGTTTTCCGTGCTATATGGCCATGTTCTAGAAGCATTTTCTCCTGGCATTTCACCTGCATCTATGGCAGGCATCCTCAGAGGTTGTAAAGTCTGTTGGAAACTAGGAAAACTGGGTTTATATATCTGCGGAATGTCCAAGGTGGGAGAAAGAAGTCTTGTCCGTTGGAAGTAGTATGAATGTTTCAATTGGCCACCTTGATTAGCATTTGATGGCTTAGCAGTTTCAAGGTGTGGCTTCTTACTGCCTGGGGGGATCCTTTGTTGAGAGGTGATTAGCTGTCCCTAGTCATAGTACAGGCAGTCCCTGACATCCAACTTACAAATTGCTCATAGTTAAGAATGGAGGTAAGAAAACAGGAAGTGAGAGAAATCTACCCTCAGAAGAAAAATTCATACCTGGAAGAGTTATCACACGGAAAAGGTATACCACTGAAACTTTATCACCTATCCTTTTTTCCATAACTAGCCAACTTTTTCAAAATCCAATTATCACAGGGACAGAAAGTGAGGTGAAATCTTCTGAACAGGAGCACAGACAGCAAAATGAATACCATAGAGGTGTTAACCCTTCCCTATGCTATCCCAAAGTGTGTGTGTGTGGCTGGAGTTACACTTAAAATGTACTTGCTCCAACTTACAGCTAAATTCAACTTAAGAACAAACCTACAAAACCTATCTTGTTCGTAATTTAGGGACTGAAGTTAGCAAATGTGCCACAGTGTCCTTTTTACATATTTGAGCCTGCAAATCAAAGTAACAGCATATTAAGTATCCATATTTATGAACAGTGTGAACAAGAATCCCTTCTTGCTCACACTGTTTTTATCATAATATATTGCATGGCCAGCAATATTTTCTTCATCCGTAGATGGTAACAGAGGATGATTGGAAATAGTAAGTTATTTCCCTTGAGATACTAAATTAAGAATATGATTCTAATTCCAATACTGGGAATTACACTAAAATGAGTCTATTTGTAAAAAAGAAAAAAAGAAAAAAAAGACCATCTATCACTCTTGCCACCGAAGAGGCTCAAATGCATCAAAATTTCCTTACAAAACATGTCCAAGATGTTGGGTCTAACAAAAGCAACTCACAAAATTAGACCCACATAAACACACATGTTAGTTTACCTTGCTGCGTTGGGATCCTGTGACCTTAAGGAAAGGCGAGGATAAGAAGTAAAATAGCAATAAGAAAAATGTGTCCAAAGTACTCTGATGATAACTGAATAACCAAACAGTACTTTCTGAAATAATCACCAATTACCAAATAATTTCTGTTAACAACCTAGAATAAAATACTTTTAGAAAACATGTTACCCTGAAATTGCTGGTATCTCATGGAATTATATCCTCCACCTTCTCACAAGCTATTTCTCATTTCAGTTTTTCCTTTCTGTTACTTACTATTACTGAAGTCATTCTGGAACAAGGACTTTAAATCTTTTTACTAAGCTTTGTAACAGACATATTCATTAGACTAATAAACTAGCTGGTTGAATCAAACAAAGAACATAATACATCATGGACAATGGTTTTCAGCAACAGTGAACTGTGATGATGAGGAAGGATAGAAGAACTAAAGTGGTATCAAAAGCATTCAGATACAGGTCTGTGGCTCTATCTGAATTTTTCAGATACAGCCACAGACCTATATTAGATTTATCATTACTTTATCAATGAAGTGAAAGCTAAACATGAACATTATCCTCCTCTATTCTAAATAATTAAGGTTTTACTCTCTAGTGCAAATATTTAATTTTAATATATGACCATAATAATATTATATAGGAGGCCCTGGTGGCACAATGGGTTAAACCCTTGTTCTGACAGGACTGAAAACCTCTGTCAGCTCCGGCTCTCCATGTGGGGACATGAGAGAAGTCTCCCATCAAAACATCTGGGTGTCCCCTGGGCAACGTCCTTGCAGATGGCCAATTCTCTCACACCAGAAGCAACTTGTAGTTTCTCAAGTTGCTCCTGACACAAGAAAAAAATATATCATAGAATCATAGCATTGGAAGAGACCTCATGGGCCATCCAGTCCAACCCCCTGCCAAGAAGCAGGAAAATTGCATTCAAAGGACCCCCAACAGGTGACCATGTGTGAAGTATATATCTCACATCATCACTCTATTTTTTAATTAGAATTAATATGAATTATTGTTCTCAAACAGGAAACACTACTAAATGGGGAGGGGGGGAATACAGCAGGTTAATCACCAGCTGCAGCTGCAGTTAATCTTGCCCAGCTCCCCCACCCACCTAGCGGATCGAAAACAGCAATGTGAGTAGATGAATAGGAACTGCATTAAGTGGAGAGGTATTTTAGGCATGGCATTTTGGAGGAAAGTTTAGGAACAAAGAAAGCCTTCAGAAGATGCCAAATGATGAGAAAAAAGCCTAAATATACCTCTATCTGTTGTCTATCTTGTCATTGTATAATCGGCATTGAATGTCTGGTATATATGTGTTCTGTGATCCACCCTTAGTCCCCTTCAGAGTGAGAAGGGCAGAATATAAGTACTATACATACATAATGACACCTTTTCTCACTTAATCATAATTGAAGGACCTTGAGTACTGTACAAATTACTACACTTTTTATCTCAGCTTGTAATTTTTGTCCAATTCAACTGTGATTTTAGAATTGTATCACACTTTCCTATATATTTCATTTGAAATTGTCAGATCATTAAAATCATTCAGTTAAAAAAAATCAGTGTTACAGCCATGAAGCATATTAAGGAGATATGCTGAAAAAACAGATTTAGTCATGTATCCAGGAAGTACTGGATGAATGAATTTCAGTACTATTGTGAGCTTTACACTGGTTTTCATTGTCAGTGAGCAGGTTAGTATATAGAATAACTGGAATAAATGAGACAACGTAACTTCTAGGAATTCTGGCAAATGAAAAAGAGGAAAAAATTTACTAAAGGATTCCACTCACTCCCAGCAAAGGAGAAGTAGGAAGGCAGGCATGGCCAATAGAGGTTAGCCATGTTGGCAAATTGTTAGCCATGGGGACATTTTAAACTGTTGGACTGGGCATTTTGGGGACTGTTTGGACTTTTTGGCGGTTGTTGGTTGCATTGGGGTCAGGGTTGGCGGTGGGGGAAGTGGGGGCTCCCACCCACCCACTCCTGTTTGTGGCATTTGGCATGGGTCCTGGATCTGACTTGCTTAATCCACGCCCCCCCCCCCCCCAATTGTAGAGGGAGAGTGTCTGGTGGCTTAACAGGGTATGGAAAGAACAGTGTTCTGATACTGTGCCAGTCGGCAAACAGCTGCACCCCCTGGCATGGTTAAGTGGTATCAGTCAGCAGCTGGATATCTGATTCCTGATCCAGGACCCATGCATGGCAGCCGACCCTGTTTCTCATTTGTAATCAATAAACAAGTTGTGGCCTTTTGTTATCCCAACACTGAGTGTTTGTTGTTCTTGGGTTCTGCGGTGGGAAGTAGGTAATCGCCCATGCACATGCAACTAATCATTCTGCAGATATATAAAGCTGAATATAAACTGCCATATAACCCAGTTTCGGAATCTAGATTATTTGCTTTGAACCGGACTATATGAGTCTACACTGCCATATAATCTAGTTCAGAATAGATAATGTTGATTCAGAAATAGGATTATATGGCAGTGTAGATGAGGCCTAAGACTGATGAGAGGGTATCCAAAGTAGTCTATTCTGTCTTGCTGTTGGATTCTATTTATCATATATGTATGGATCTCAACATCCAGCAATAGGCTCATAATCTCAGTGCTTATCAAGGCAAATATAAATACAAAAAGTGTTGAAGGTAGTCCGGTATAAAGATGGAATTTCTACAAGGATATTTTAAACTTGTGTGTCACACTGTTGGAATAAAACATGCATGATTACTGTTGACCAAATAACTGTTTCTCGGACACTATGGACTGTATAAAAGAAATACAATAAGCAATAATAATAATAATAATAATAATAATAATAATAATATCATCTTACTTCAAAACTCTTCACCTCCTCTTCACCATCATCATCTTCTTCATCATGACAGCTCTACCATGTACAAAAAATACTACATTTACAAACAACCTTTTAAATTCAAATATATTTGTTTTAGAAATAAAACTTCTCTCAAAATATCATATACTCGTAAATTATACATTGTCTTAAATCCAATTGCCATTCCTAGCTAAAGCAAACCTATTGACTTGATAAATATTGATTTACAATTCAATAAAACATTTAACATTGTACTCTAGTGACAGAGCGGAAAAGGGCACCCTCAGGCTGTTCTTGTATTTAGCTGTTCTAGAATTCCCATTGGGAATTCACCTTTTAGAAAATTTACAACTCCAGACACACACGAACACCAAAAATGACTGCAGCTTTCATTTGGAAGGCTTTCTTTGAAATTTTTGGTAGAAAACTGGCCTATGGGCCCACACTTAATTTTTTTTTAAGAATTACTAAAAAGAATGTCATTGTCCTTATCATCATTGTCATTATTATTATGATTTTCATTTATGTCAAAATACTGGTGACAGTTAAACTCTGATTTTAATTGGAGTTAGTAATGAATGAATTTTCATAAGATAATGTCATAAGGCAAATAATTGAATCTGATGACTTATAAACCCCAGCAACTTGCAGCAACTTTTATATATCTTGGGAAAACTACATACCCCAAAACATTGGAAGGGGAAGTGAGTAAGGAAATGAAGAAGGGGTCTGTGAATAAGAGAGAACCTGCCTTCATGGAGCTAAAATGTAGAAGGAAGGGGTCACATGAAAACCTGAATCAAAAAAGAATATGAAAAATCATATTTGTCTATTCTTTAAAAGACAAACATTATGGGTCACTGGGAATACCAAAATAAGGAATTACAAAACAAAGCAAATTCACAAAACAAATGATGGAAGGAAATATATTATTTTATGTGAAAAGAAATTACCTTTGCCATAATATCAGCATATGCCATATAAAGGTAATCTTCTTCCAGTTTACTGCATTATAGAAATAAAAGAATAACGGAAAACATTATTGTAAAATCTCTGCTTTTTGACCTATTTAAAATTACAGATGACAGGAGGTGAAAGCCTACTAAACAAGAAACATTATGTTTATTAATATATCAGTTGGTCCCTGACTACAGAACCATATATCCCAAAAAGAATGTTGACAGAAGAACAGTGAAGATGAGGGAAACAGATTTTTTTTCCTCCTAAAAAATCTGAGATTGACTGCTCTCTCGCACATGCAAATAATAAGAAAAACTATCTCTGTCTATCTGCCAATAGGAATAATAACTATTAATATTGTCAGGTTTTCAATGTATTGTCAAAGATATTCACGGCCAGAATTACTTTTTAGGTATGTTCACATTCTTTCATCTGGTATGCTATTATACAGTTTGCAGTACAGTTTGCATTAAATCAGTTGTCAAAAATCCAAAACAAGACTGGCATTGTCTCATGGTTGAATTTTTTTGGATCAAATATGAAGTACTACCTATTCTCCTGTGTACCATTGCTGTCCTACCACAGGAATGAGACCAGACACAAGAGATTCTATGAAATACAGGCAACATTATTAATCATGACCTATTTAATTGTGTTATAGTGATGAGCAAAACTAAAGGAGGAAGCAACCTATTGTGGGATTGGCTGAAGTTGTAGGTCTCACCCAGACCACACACCCAAGCCTCCACTGAGTGAAACAACACAGCCCCAGAGAGAAATCCAAAAACTGATGGTTGCTCCCACAAAAGCTACAAATTGGAAGGGGAGCCAGAGGGCATAAACCACCAAGCCACATTGCTCCTTGTAAGGGCAAAGACCACGAAACCAGCCAAAAAAACAAACAAAAAATCAAGTGCAATATCACATGATAAACAGGAGCCGATCCACTGTGAAAAGAGGTGGGAGAGTGAGTCAGTTGTTTCCAAAGCCAGGAAGAAAGGGGTGAGCTGCCTAATGTAGGCCATCAAAGCCCTGCCCCATCACCCTACTGTTATTGGAAAGGAATATAAATTTCCATTGTCCATTGATGAACATTTGAAGAGATATAGGTATGAATTCAAAATCGGTCTAGCATATTTGTATCCTCACATCCCCTCCTCCCCAAATTCTAGCAAAAAATATGAACACATGACAATTTATTAGGAACTGTTCCCAGTTTTACCTCATCATAACTATTTTCAAAAGCAGGATGCAAATCTGGAAAGAAAGCAATTTACCAAAAATTACAATTATTGTTCCCTCTTCATCATTCTCACCATTTTTCCGTTAATGCTGTTCTACTAAATAGTAAAATAAGTTGATGCAAAGGATCAACTCTCTTTATGCATTCATCTTCCTCTGGTGGCTCATCTCCAGGTTTCTAAGAGGGAGAAATAGGGAAAAAATGTAAACTGTGATTTGAAATCTGATAAACATATTTAATTGAAATTCTCACTAACTGCTATCAAATTTACTCCCATGTAATTGAGTTTAAATTTACTTATTTATTTACTTACTTCATTTAAACCCCACCTTTCTCGCCCAGCAGATTAGAAATTCATACACAAATTCATCATGGTGACTTTATTTCTTGTCAAATGACACAAGTATTCATCAAACTACATTTCAAAATATTTAATTTGAAGACAAAATACACTTTAGAATTGGTACAGAAGTACTCATTTTAATACAACTTCTCATGCACTGTTTCAAGAAAAATGAGTACTGCTATAATAAAGAGATAGAACTGGCATATAAATTGGCATATGTCATCCTGTGCGCGCTGAATAAATAAGTAATAGGGAGGGACAGTAGGGTAGATAATCCCAGAATACAATGTTTTAAACCAGTCATCATCATATAACAATTAATGGTAGGATAAATCATGAAATATCATGTTAAGTCATCGCTACAACAATCTTACCAATTTCATTTGGATTAACATAATTATACATGTATTAATGAAGTTAGTTGATTATTATTTTGTCCTTGAATTTAGCTGGAATTTTTCATACTTTTTCACACAAAAAATGTCCAAAAAGGTGTTTTATGAGGAAGAACACCATATTTGTGCAGAGAAGTGTATTCTGTTCAAAACAACTTATCTGCACAAAAATTATTTATGCACAAAAGTTTTTAATATAAAAACTCAAGGGTGTTTTTTTTTTTCAAATAAATGCTTTGCACATAAACAAAATGTCCCAAATTATTGGAAAAAAACATTCCGGTGGTTAACCATTTCTTTGCTGTGGATAGTTCATCAAGGATGAGGAAATCTTTGTCTGTTATTTGCATCTCTCACACATATATTCAAAATAAATGTTTCAGATTATTAGAAATATCTGCTCACTAGTACCAGCTTTGAAAATCTGAATACCCTTGGGGATTCAGTAGACCTCCTTAACCTGAAAGAGTCCGGGCTGCCAAACTGGTAATCTCTCATACTGCTTTTGAACTTCCTATTTTCACTGTTAAAATTCAAAATGCAAAAAGTACACAAAATGAACTACATATCTCAAAATCTATGAAGTCCAAACTTACAGCTAGATCTTCTATAAGAGTATCTTCAAAGTAGTGGTCTTCTGTTTCCACCCAGGATTTGTCATATCCTTGAAGAAAAAGATTGACAGCCCGGTGCCTAAAAATGAAAATGGACAAGTGTTCGTGAACATGTACTGCTATAGATATTAGTCTACGTCTATATAGATGCACAAGTTAGCCCATATATTTCTGTACAGACATATGAATATAACATATATTTTAGAGTAACCAATTCACAGGAAACATTTATTTTTATTTATTTATTTACTTTATTTCTATCTTACTCTTCTCACCCTTGCAGGGGACTCAGAGTGGCACACAAATTGGGAATTTTAATGCCTCATATTCTACAACATAAAATGCAATATATCAACACAATCGACAATTAAAACATAAATATCATAAAACTATTAAAACAAAACCCAGTCCTAAGGTCATCATTTACGTGCTACATTGTACTGGTTCTGTATTGCACTACCAAAATGCCTGATTACAAAACCATGTCTTCACTTTTTTTCAGAACACAAGAAGTGATGGGGCCAGTCTGATATCACTGGGGAGGGAGTTCCACAACCAAGGGGCCACCACAGAGAAGGCCCCGGCTCTCATCCCCACCCGTCATGCTTGCTGAAGGGAAAAAGCATGTTTCCCTTCAGCAAATATAGAACTAATTGTGATAGAAAGATTTATGTGACAAAAAGTTTCCTTGTACTGTACATTTGTTACAGGCAAGATGCATCTTAGTTGGCAATGTCTCAACTTGTGGATATATCATTAAAATATGTGTATATGATTAAATAAGGACATATAACTGGTAAAAAATCTATAAAGCCTGAAATTCCTGACAGTATTTGCCTGTTTTCTGTTTTGTAATAAAAGAAAGGGAAATGATTGTTTAGATTTCAAATCTGTAAAGAATAATATATGTTAATTTAAAGAATATACACATTGGGTCAAGTTAGTACATGAGAAATACCAGTAGTAGCCTATATAATAAAAGTGAAGTGTGCACTACATTCAAATATATTGAAACAAAAAGATAAGATCTGAACCTCTGAGTGGGCAACCAATACTTTGAAAGGAATCAAAAGAGAATTTTAAAAGCTATTAGGCCTATTTGGTACTCGCAAATCTATTACTGATTCACAAACTGAATCACTGAATTTGTGTAATAGTTTCAAAACGAAAAGATACTATGCACTAATACCGTTGAACGTTAGCCAATTTTTGTGGTAAGCTGCCTTGAGTCCCTTCCAGGAGATAGGGTGGGATAAAAATAAAGTATTATTATTATTATTATTATTATTATTATTATTATTATTGATAAGAAAGCAGAAAGATCAATAATATGTAAAAGTATGTACACCGGCACCATAGTTTTAGCATGTATTTTCTAAACCTTTTAATACTGCTGAAAATGCATATGATTTGTAGGTACTCCATTCTTCTTCTCACTCATTTCTTGAAATAAGATACCTTGGAAGATTATAGAGGGGTGCCATTCTGAAACAAGCGACCACTGCTCTTTTCCTTTGTTTGGATAAAAGTTTATGCCATACTGCTTTTTTTGATCTCTGAGGATGCTCAACCTGAAAATGAAAATGAAAAGAATGTCCCTTCTAGACTCACGCTTATTTATTATAATTAAAAAAACATTAAAATGTTAAAGTTATAAAAGATACAAACCAACAAATGTTTGCTACCAGATGGATTATGCAAGGATAATTTGAAATTATGGCAACTTGCTCTGTGGTTTTTTCAATCAAAAACAACAACACCTTTTGCTCCTATGCTTGTATACCATAATTTATAAGCCAAATACTGGAGTCATTTACAGTCAAAAGGTAGTTGGAAATACTGTGGCCATAGCCCACAAAGGTGTGTGACTCACTCTTGTTCCCATATTTAAACTTGTGGTTTTGGAACAATTACCACACATACACACCTACACACTTTAAAAATTAAGCTGACCATTCCTACATATGTAGTCATGTCCAGATGCATGGTTAGGGGTGATTTGAGAGAGTACTTTCTCAGTACTAAATGCTGGAAGGAGACACGTGCTAAACAAATCAACAAACATAAATAAATTCACTCCCAATAAAAATGGTATGGTTCTTATTCTGCCAAAGAAATATTCATAGCACAGTCTGACAAATTCTTTCTGCTGCCTGGTGGAGGAGCACATTCTCTTGGTAGAAAAAGAAAAAAAATACTAGTACCATCCTTATCAAAAATGTAATTTCTGCAAGGAAGAACAGGAACTGTTGACACTGAAGTTACTTGGCTGAATCACAAACTCTGCTTGTCCTATAAGATGTTAGCACTATGTAGGAAATTCTTTATAACAAGCAAATTCTAGAGCTTCAAAATATATAGTTGTGAGGGTAAAGAAAAAATACAATTAAAAATGGTGTACTTCTTTGTTATTCTGATTAAATAGATATTGTATATATTAGAGCACAGAATAACTGAAACACAGAACGATCAAACACAATAATTCATTGGACAGTGGAAAAATCAAAAAGTATCCTTCTCGTGAAGGAAATAATTGTGTAAAGCTACACGATTCCTGGTGAAAACAAACTGCGTGCTACAAATTCAAACACAGGGGAAAACAAAAATGTGGTAAGAAAGAGTATTTTAAAGTGTGGTTTGAAATATGTATTAGAGATCAAAACATAAAAATCAGTAAAAGGGGGTATTAACAAGCAAAATTAATAATGTGATCCTAACATAATTAGTGATACGAGAAGGAACACTATACTTCCCGTTCTGAAAAATTTCCGGCCACGATTAGAGAATTTCTGGAAGTAATAAAAGAAAGGAAAGTAATACATGAAGCAAAAAAATAAAGTCCAAATTATGTGCTTCATTTTACAGATAATGGTGCTTGGATAAAAAAAATATCTGGAAGGATTAATACTTGACAGTCTCTGCCTTAGGAACAAACTACATATCTAAGCTAAATATGTTACTTTGATTAGTAAACCTGCAAGTAATTCACCACTGTGAGAACTACAGTATTCTAGCATCTTCCCCTTATCCCCACCGCCAAAACATAAATCAGTGAAAAGTCTCCCAACATACAGCCAGACTACCTGATAGCCAATGCTATCTACCTAATTCACGAACCGTAAAAAATCAGCCATACACATTACATGCAAAAGAAGCTGTCAGTGCCCACAGAGGGAAGGTGGAGTATCCTTCCCTTCTTCAGTAGGTCTGGAATTCCTTTCTGCTGGAAACATTGCCTACGAAGTATGCTACTATTGTTTGGGACTGAAGTGCTGTTAGATTTTTATGTGTTCTGTTTTGTTGTGACACAGAGGATATAGTGAGCTGACAGTTTTCACATCATGATTGGCCACCTCACTTTTCAGAATTGTATGCTATCATGGCCTCCCTGTTGTCATGTATCACAGGGAACACATAGTTGACACTATCTCATCATTTTCTGCTGGAAAATTTAATTTTTACTTTTTTCATATAGGAATAGAATGCAACAGAAGTTCAACCAGCATAAAAGAATCATGCATTCACAACTGACAGAAACAGAATTGCTTATGTAAAGGATCTGAAATTTCATTGTATATCTTTTGTATCCAAGCTTTCCTTCTGTACCAAATAAAATGCCAGAACCATGTAGATGCTGCTAGGATTCTTGAGATGATCAGTGCATTAGTTGAGCATAATCAATATATATATAGAGAGAGAGCGCGCACATTAAACACAAACACCCACACACATGAACATAATTAGATATTTTTTACCAAATGCATCTGCCATTTCYCCCCCCCCCCCCCCACCCATCCACCCACCCAAAAAATACTGTATCACTGTAATATTGAGCTTGGAAATTCTTATAGTGCTGCTATATGTATGAAAAATAAATAAATAAAACATTAAAATAATATCTAACCTGTTCCAGATGGAAAAGCACATTGGCTATATCGAGAACCCGAACTACTGTCTTCTCTGGATCTGAAGTAACTTCAGTTCTGTTTGGTAGATCTTTATAAAGGGCTACCTGCCACCTAATGGCAGGATCTTCAAGCTGCAGGGATAATAGATTTTATGAATCATATAATTGAGGCATTAGAAAAAAGAATCATATATTGCTAGAAATACAATGCCAGATGCATAATCAGCCCAGAAGTAGGCAATGAAAAACCAATGTAGATTGCTGAGATCTCCCTGAAAAAAAATTTCTTCATTTTCTTCTTTTTTTTCTTTACATATTTTAGTGCAAAGATGTGAGGAATGAGGAAGGGTACAAGAGTGAATATATATCCACTATATCCATTTTCTTCTTAATAACTAATCTTATAGGCCTATGGTGCTATTTTAACTGCTATTATTCCATCTTATAGAGATTTGCGATTTTCAGTTCAGACTGGGTCATTTAGATTTTTTAGCTACACACTCATCAAGCTACAACCCCAGGATCCCATAGAATGTTGACATGGTAGTAAAAGTGGAATCCTAGTGATATAATTGTATTTTGTAAGAATGTTTGTTTACAGCAAAACAAAACTGATATTCTTAAAGGGCATAAACAAGGAACAACTGAAGAAAAACATAAAACAAAGGACAAGAGAGCTAACATCTTTTGGAGAGGGCAGAACATAACTGGTATGTTCAGTGCCCAAAATATCTAGATTAGTTCTTTTAAAAAATCAGAGAAAGAATAATTACAATACTTCTAAATTACCTTGCCCTGTAAGTGAAGGTTGTTACGAACAATATCTCGAACTTCATCTTCAGTGTCTTTCTGTCAAATAAAATAAAATATCATGAACATTTTTATTTATTCGGTAGATTTGTTACATTATTTGCCAATAATAAAGAGATTTTTATAAATAAAAAAACTGACCCTGTATATATCATGTGCCTTGCAACTTAAAACGACTCCATGAATAATTCCTGTATAAGGCATGAACAAATGTTCTTTGTTCACACCAAAAATAATAATGGCTTCGCAGGATTTCCTAAAACAAGTACTCTCAAAATCAGTAAGGCTTTCATTAGAAGTTCTCTCTCAAAATCTGAGAAATTCTCAAGTATTTGTTAAACAAAGCATGACTCTTTTCATCATCTTTTGTAGTATGCTACTCATACGATGAAACTGTCTTTACAGTTTGAAACCTGTTGTGTGATGTTGTTCATCTCACACTTAAGCCTAAATTATGACAATAACAGAGTGTTTTCATGTATTGGTGAAAGGAGATGAAACTCAGAAGAAGGATCTCTGAAGTACAATACAACGAGGAACATTTGTAATTGATTATTTTTATTTTATTTCAAGCATCTAAGAAGTTACAACAAAATATGATGTAACGTATCAAATACAAGTCATGACTGAACCTTGATGAGTGATAACCTGGAAAGGTTGGTTTGAAAACTCAGAAGGAACGCTCCCTCTTTGACATTGTTCTTACTAAGGGTCTGGCTTGCCAACCAACAAGCGGTACATTCTAGAAATAAAAATTCACCTTGTGTGGAGTCACTAAAAAGCCCTGCAGTTGGTGATAAAATACACAAACATTTGAATACCATAATATGGGCCAACTGGACTGCCATATCATGAAGATCTATTTATACTCTAAGCACAATGATACACCTGCGCTGCATACAGAGCCATATGGCTTGTAGTTGTGAAGCTGAAGCCAGCTTTGTTGACTCAGAAGAAAAGGACAGGACAAACTGCAGGTCAATGTCAAACTGTATTTTAACATGGTTGGCATCACTAGCATAGCTAGATGGGCTATATATAGCTTTTGTCATCTCATCACTTGAGCTCTTCTTAATGACACACCAACTTGATCATTACCTGCAAACATTGATTGGCTGTCTAAAAGTCAGATAAACCACATCTTAATTCAAACATCAGTACAAAAGAATGATTTTTTCATAAAATGTTTTTTTATCTTCCTTGCACTATAGAATCCCCATGCAAATATAGTATATTTATAATTTGATATTTGCCTAAACCAGAGCCATTGTTGCAAAATAATTTAAGTGTTTGATTAGTATTACAATGGAGCTCTATGGCTGGATTGGAGCAGTGGAAACACGAAGGATGAGGTGATTGTCCAGAGAAACCGATATGATTGCAGACAGCTGGACTGTGTGGACACCAATGTTGCACTGCAGTGGGTTTCTCTGGACTGGTCACAGATTTGGCTGCCAGTGACTTGCCCTAAGATCACTGTCCTAATAATATGTTGACCATTACTAAGGGTGAGAGTAATCAAACTTCTGCCACATAAACAGATCCATATAGCTCACCTACCATACTTAACCTGTTCTTCGCCAGTGCAATTAATTCTTGGTCCCCAGGTGCACAAATATTTAGCCCAACAGGTAACAACCTTTTTAAAGCTGCCACAATAAGGGAAGTCTGGGTTGAGTAACGATCACCTTTCCTCTTCATTTTCTTTCTTTCCTGATCTGAAACAGCTGCCTGTAATATGTAAGAAATAATCAAGTTTTAAACTGTAAAACAAGAAAAGTTGCCATCTATCTCTTGAGTGAGGCACACAATAAAGCCAACAATCTATCACTTTGTATATTAGGGTTTTACATCTATAATAATTATACAAATAAAGACCTCCATAGCTATAATACAATTCATCTTCCCACTATAGATTCTCAGCTGCTTATCTTATATGTATGTAACAGCTTTTAAAGCTTTTTCCACTCATCAACACTTTTCATCTGAGAAACATTTTCATGACTCCTTCCCTTTGTGTTTAAGAAGCAGTGTATAAGATAGCTTTGGGGCCAAGATTATGTATTTTGAAGTGGCCCATGAATAAGTTGAGGATCATTCTGTGGAGGGGAAAATGGGTCAATGCTGCCTCAAGCAGTCAGGCCCAGTTTGAAGCTGTTAATATAGTCAGTGTACGCTACATTATATGAGACACACACCTTTTGAGTACTCCTACATCAATTTCTGTAACTGAAGTAGATTCTGTGACTCAGAATGCCTGGGGTCAGTTTCAAGTGGTCTACTACCTACTGTTTTTCTTGATGTGGTAACCTGACAACATTAGTTCATCCACTGGTAATATCTCTAGTTCTTACTGAAAAAGCTTTTGCCTGGGAATACCATTGAAAGCAACTCAGAATCTGCAGACAGAACATTGTGAAGCACATATGTTGTTGACAGCTTATATCTGATTTTACATTGTTTAAATTATTCTATTATTGAAGACTCTAGTAAATTCTTTCCAATGTTTATACTCAATTATTATTTTTTAAATCAAATAAATTATTTTTATAAGCCACCAGAAAATGAGTTGTTGTAGATTTTTTGGGCTATATGGCCATGTTCTAGAAGCTTTGTCTCCTG